GGTCTGGTCAGCTTACTTGCATTCTCTATCGGCCTGAATAAGCTACAATGCTTTCATTTCAAGATATTATATTTTTGAAAAAATATTTGTGCACATGCCAGTATGACGTTACAAGGATATTTTTACAGTCTGTTTAAAGCTTTTTGGGAGGTAGTCTTTCAGTTGTTTGCCCTTAAAGAGTTTCGTCAGCCAAGTGTATTTCCCAGCGGCTCTCGTCATTTGTTTTTCCTCCACAGAGGAAATAAATTAAATCCTAAAAATGAGTGGAAGGCCTCCCCCGCCATCTTTGGTGCAGGAACCGACTGAATCCTCTGTCAGGCGGCCAAAAATCACTAGAATCATGACGGGGAGACCCAAAAGACAAAAAAAAAAGAAAAATCATAAAAGCCACAGGAAATATTCCAGAATGCCTCAAAAAGCCTGACTGGAGATGGAGGATGTAGGAGCCAAGTGAGACACTGCTGCCTGCAAACATACGTGGGCTGAATCAAAGCACCCACCTACAGCAACCACATGGCGTCATGCACTAATCCCTTTCACCTCGCGCTGTATCTGTGTCTCTCCTCAGGGCCTCTTGGGAGGAAGCATTGAATACACAGGAAGTCCGTCATCAGCTTTAATTTTTACATTTATATCTGCAGTGCACTTTGAGCCACACAAGGGAGCTTGTTATTCATACTGTCCTGAAAATTGTTATCTCCTCAAACCGTTGCATATATCATGTGAGAGTGTCTCTCAAATAAGATTCATTTGTGATTCATCCAACGTACATATTTTTGGAAAGGCTGGTTTACCGATCGGATATAATACATGTCTGGACAAAGGTACCGTTGTTAAAGACACAAGACTGGGGCGGTTTAGCCTTTACAGCACTTGATAAAACACAGACCGATCATGCGTTGACAGGCTGTGATGATTATTAAAAGCAGCGATTTTCTGTTTTCTTGTTCTCTCTACATGGGACTCGTCAAATGGGATCCCCCTGATCTACAGCAGAGAATGCCCCGTGGTTAAGAAGTGACAGCAGGAGCAGCATTGTAAACACAGCCGATTACCCCAGTGCTCACAACGCGCCGGTTCCCTCGGGTGCAGCAGTTAATTAAAAGCTCCAATTGTTTAAAAGGAAACAAGAAACAGTGAGAGGCTGTAGGTGAAGCACATTGAGAGGGTGACATGTAGAACACACACCCTCCCTGACATAAGTTTTCCCCCCGATCTCATGGCCAACTTTGGGTCCATTTTCAGTACTTCTTTTCAGCTAACAGTGTTTTTATTGGAATAAAACACTGAAGCCCGCAGCTGATCTGGAAGCTCTGCCTGATTCTTTACGTTAATCTCCATTTAACGATGAAAGCATGGCGATACAAACCGGCTGCCAAGAGAGAAAAGGACGGAACTACAGGATGACGGACAGAGATGTTTTAGCACAGGGCCTGACACGCACTCACTCATGCTTTTTAGGGCTGGTTTCACTAGAAATCGTTGAATGTGTCAGTCAGAAATACGGAGCCGAGGTACTAGAACCCCCTGTTCCCCCCCCGAGAGGGAAGAGAAATACTAGTTATGCAGCGGGATACGTGTACGTCATTTATTTACTTCCGTTCTCACACAGACACACACACAAACATTGCCGTGGTTTATGAGCGTTGCCCTGAAAGGGGCCTGACCTCCGCGGCTATGTTTGAGGAAACGGAACGAGGAAGAGACGAGCGAAGGGAGAGAAAATGGAGAGAGAAAGAGGGGGGGTGGGGGGGGGGAGCGGTTGGAGCCAGAGGTGTTCTGGCTCCCTAAACAGGACGAGATGAATTGGCCTCGCAGCAGTTAGCGTGTGCAGCATCGGGCAGAAGCACACACTGACACACACACACTGACACACACGTCTTGGTTCATTCATGCTTATATTGCTTCACTGAGTTCTTTTGTCTCCATATGGTAGTTTGCTTCTGTGCTCATTTCCGTAACGTATCTGATGATGACCCCTGAAACAACACAGGGATGCATCAGTAGGTAAACAAACTACTATTTGTATCTATGTACCAGTGTATTAAAAGATAAATCAATTTGTTCTGATCTTGAGTTCTGGTGTTTTACTCGGCCTGGTCTTGTCTAGTGCTCAAACAATGGGGATTTTTTTTTTTGCAAGACCAGTTGAGACCACAACTGCGGCGTTATGGCAAATTGCCTGTTTGTGTTTTATTTTCTACATTGACATGAATGAAAATATTTAATGGAGTCAAATGAACTTCACATCTTGATTATTTAATCATTCATAGACGCATACACAACATCCGGGTTTGTGTGTGAGAGCTCATTAATTGATTACGCTTTGCTTGCCTTGCATGAACCACAAATACAAATAAGATTCATTCATATTTTATTATGTACACATTTCCACAATTTACCGACATATGTGGTCTCAGCTGTTGCCTCGGAGAGCTGCTGCACAGTGGTTCTTTGCTCTGGTTTGAACTCATCAGCGCCTCCTGACTAACATCCACCCCGCCTCGTTCTCCTGGCCCCCATCTGCCACCACCTCCTCTTTCCAAAACACATTAGGAGTTTAGATTTAGGTTTTTAGAATGATGCTTATATGGTTGGTGTTACTGTCGCGCTACAGTCTCCCGTTATTGTAAATCTATGAGGAGAATGAAGCTATTTGCACATCTATTTGCTGTGTAAAGATATAGTGGCTGTTTCCTTTGAGACATCGGCCGTGTTAAGAGCCGTAGAGGCAATCAAATTAGTCCTTGCCCTTTTCAATGAATGTATTAAATTGTGATTGGTGATTGTTTCTTGATTGTAGACATGTCGACTCGTCGCATTCCATCCATTTGATAAAAGACAGCAAAGCTCTGCATGCAGGAGAAACATTCATCATATTTATTCAAAGAGTAGAGCTATGCTTCAACTACTGTCACGGTGTGGTTCACTTCCTGTTGTATTTTGTAGTTTTCTGCCACTCATGTCCCCGGGTAACTTCACTTCCTGCCTTGTCCCGTCATCCCCTGTGATCGTCTAATAGTTTCCACCTGTGTCCAATCACCTGCACCTCCCTTGTGTATTTAAGCCGTGTGTCTCTTGTGTCACTTGTCGTGTCATTGTCTATTGTCGTGGATGTTCATAGTTTCATGCCTGCTGTTTTCCCCCCTGGTTCCTGTGTGTTTTTGCCCCTTGGCCTTTTGATTTTGGATCTTGTGACTATTAAAGTCTTTTGTTTTCCGTGAAGTCTGCATTTGAGTCCTGCCTCCTCCACGCATCCTTGACAACTACAATACGAGAGATGTTACAACGAGAGGACTCTACACTCGAACCATCAGGAGCTATTTCCTCACAATAAGTGAAACATGTCGAAAACGTGGTTTTCCCACGTTATCTTCCTCCACGGGAGAGTAGATGAAGGGAAGAGAGGAAAAGTGCCTCTGAATAATGCCGGGACAAATGAAGCGATGCCTTTCTAGCGACTCCACTCAACAAAAGGTTGTCGTGCATCAGAACCAAATCACGAGGTGCAGGATGAAGAAGATGAAGAGATTGATTCAGGAATGCAAAACGTAACAGATACGGAGCACAGAATACCGCCAAACAGCCTACTGAAAGGACAAAGTATCCACTTACTCTATGCTGCTTGTCATGGCACAGCCATTACGTCAGACTAGAGAATCCCACAGCTCGTGTGTTTTCAAGTGTATGTGTGCGTGCAGAAAAGTGTCTGAATGTGTTATGCAAATGCTGTGGGGGTGCATGTTGTGTGTCATACAAAATAAGCACACAATGTTGTCATTCATTGCTCAAAGACACCAATATGCATTATGCACATGGCATAACGTCAAAACTCAAGCAAGCATGTGCACACCATCAAAAGGACTGCAGCCCCCCCCAACCCCCCCACACACAGCACAAAAGTGCAGATGCAAGTCAGATTAAACTCCTGAGAAGTGCAGTCAAAGTTAAGTCCAAAGCCACCCAAGCTTGAAGCAATGTTTGTCTAAAATGGGAATAAACACACAACATGGCGCCATGAATGTGAATGCACTCCATTTTTTTAGGTTTTAGTTCTATTGTGCAAGAGGAAACTTTCAAAGTGCTGCCGTCATGATAAATGATGTATGGCTCGACATCTGTCAAAAATAATGGATGCTCTGGAGTCACTGGGAGATCCATTGTATATTAAAAGCAGCCAAAGTACATATTTCTGTCATGGTTTGAATCCACTCTCTGTCTTTGATTTGTCAATTTTCCAAGAAACCACTCGAGTGGAGTGGTGTAATGCACATATAATTAATCAGTTATGGAAAATAGGACAGATGGAATTGATACCCAGGTCCCATATGTGTCGGCATATATTGTTCTACTACAAAACAGCAGCTGACAGACAACATCCTAATGTATGTATTCGTACAAAGCCATTCCCTCCCAACCAATCAGATCCTGTTATAGAACCAAGGACAACATATAAAACGTTGTCAATTACCATTCTACACAATTTCTCCTCTTCTCCTGCCTCCTGTGTACCAATATCAGTTCCATCCAAGATCCCCATCTTTGCCTATTTGGAAAAAGTGTTTAAGAATTCTGATATTATACTTCAAACAAACTTACTCTAAAAATCTCCCCCCATTCCTCCCAGCCACTGGATACCAATGGTGCACCATCGCTCCCCTCAAACTTTTTTTCCAACTATCATCTCTACCCTCTTGGTCTTTCATACATCCCTTTTTTTCCTTCATCTCCTTCATTATCATTCTTAAATCTAGCCCTCTGCTTGCAATTAACTCCTTAACTCGCTGAGTACGACAGAAGCCGAAAGGCCTTTGGTGAGGGTCCCCCTCAACGAAGCTCAGCTGTGATTCAACAATCATCAGTCCATTTTTTATCCAATCTTTTCATCCAATGCCCATTCAATTCTTTCTGATACTATTACCCCATCAATATTCTAACCATCCCATTGTATCCTTTCCCATCCAACCCTACCATCAGACAATGCATGAACACTGTCCTACCTGTAACTTTGAGCTGTGTTGTCCGTCGCACCTGTCTGGATCCATACTGTAACTCACAGGTGTAATTTCCCCCGTCACCCTCTTCCACCTCTGGAATCCAGATGTTTGTAGTGTTAACAGTGATGGAGCTTCTCCATTCAACCCGCTCGCACTCCTGACAAGAGACAGAGCGTGACCCAGTTACAGTCTACAGACGACCGTGGCATGTTGCTCACATCCGTCCTGTATGTCTTACCTTGTACCAGGTCATCTGTGGTTGCTTGTACGGCGCCAAATAGTCTTCTATATCAGGACAGGTGATCATTTTGCTGTGGGTGATCTCAGCCTTCTCCAGATGTCGGATTTTGCTGCTGAAGCATTTTCCCTCATCCCTCTCTTCCACAATCATGGACATGGACACTTTCATGCAGTATGTCGAGTTCCTGAGGAGATCACAACAAACACAACATTGTAAAAAGCTTTTTAAAAAAAATACATCCTGCTGCTCTGACGCTACAGGTGACGGTGTGAACATTGAGTCTTATCAACAAACAAATTAATACAACTGTGATACACTTTGAACGTGTGTTACAATGTGTATGATACGACAACATCAGTTGACAGTAACTCTGTGTCTGTGTGTGTGTATGTGTGTAGGTCTTCTCCCAAGTTCACCTCCAGACACAAAGGACATCTCTCTCTCTCTCTCTCTCTCTCTCTCTCTCTCCCTCTCTCCCTCTCTTTCTCTCTCCCTCTCCCACGCACACTGGGAGGACTCATCCATTGTCCCCAAACCCTAACCTCTCATCTAAGTGGATCCAAACCACTTATCCCTTCACTGCAGTGTGTGTGTAGGTGTGTGTGTGATGTGTGTGTGTGTGTGTGTGTGTGTGTGTGTGTGTCATTGACCTGCACAAAGCATTGGACTAAGCTCTAGAGGATCCCACTCCACCCATCTATCTCCCAGTGTGTTCCCTCCCCATCTGTCCATCTCCAGGCTCCAGCAACTTGTTTTCTTCTGCAGTGATTCCTCGCCTCTGTGTATTATTGCTGAGTATGCTGACTGACAAATTGGGTTTTCATGGGCGCTGCAATACAAACATCTCAAAGATAGTTAGTGAATAAGTGAGTCAGTATAGCTTGTTTTAGGAAAATGTCAGCAACTAGCTGGTGGACAAAGTGTTAAACGTGGGAATCGATGACTCTATTACATTACATTACATTACATTACATTACATGTCATTTAGCCGACGCTTTTATCCAAAGCGACGTACAATAAGTGCATTCAACCATAGGGTACAAACTACAAGAAACAAGAAAGTGCAATTTCCTCAAATAAGCCAATTTACAATTTGCTATAGATGAGTGACGTTGCAAGTACAATTTAAGTGCTACAATTTGTTAGTCTTTAGTCGAGGTAGAGTCTGAAGAGGTGTGTCTTTAGTTTGAGGCGGAAGATGTGAAGGCTCTCTGCGGTCCTGGTGTCTTCAGAGAGCTCGTTCCACCATTTCGGCGCAAGGACAGCAAAGAGTCGAGATCTAGTCGAGTGTTTTGCTCTCAGTGAGGGAGGGACGAGTAGTTTTGCAGATGCAGAGCGGAGAGTGCGGGTTGGGATGTAGGGTTTGACCATGTCCTGGATGTAAGCTGGACCCAATCCATTCACAGCATGGTGCGTGAGCACCAATGTTTTGAACTGGATGCGGGCAGCCACCGGTAGCCAGTGAAGTGAGCGGAGGAGTGGAGTAGTGTGGAAGAATTTCGGAAGGTTGAAGAACAGTCGAGCTGCTGCATTCTGAATGAGCTGCAGAGGTCGAATGGCGGTGGCAGGGAGACCGGCCAGGAGGGAGTTGCAGTAGTCCAGGCGGGAGATGACAAGAGCCTGAATCAGTACCTGCGCTGCTTTCTGAGTGAGAAGGGGACGTATTCTCCTGATGTTGTAAAGCGTGTATCTACAGGATTGCGTTGTCGCGGTGATGTTGGGAGTCAGGGAGAGTTGGCTGTCGAGCGTGAGGCCGAGGTTCTTAGCGGTCAAAGTGGGCGTTAGTACGGAGTTTCCAAAGATGACTGTCAGGTCCTGGGTAAGCGAATCTTTTCCGGGAAAGAGAAGTAGTTCAGTCTTGTCGGGGTTGATTTTCAGATGGTGGGCGGACATCCACTGAGAGATGTCAGTTAGACAGGCAGAGATCCGAGCCGCCACCTGGGTGTCCGAGTGAGGGAAGGAGAGAATTAGTTGGGTGTCATCGGCATAGCTGTGGTAAGAGAAGCCATGCGAGCGAATGACAGCGCCAAGAGAGTTGGTGTAAAGCGAGAACAGGAGGGGACCCAGCACGGAACCCTGAGGAACTCCAGTAGTAAGAGGACAAGGTTCCGACACAGATCCTCGCTAGGTTACCCGGTAGGTGCGGCCGTCGAGGTAGAACGAGAGAAGGGAGAGAGCAGACCCTGTGACACCAAGTTCCTAAAGGGAGGAAATAAGGATCTGGTGGTTGACCGTGTCAAATGCAGCAGAGAGGTCCAGAAGGATGAGGACAGAGGAGAGAGAGGTGGCTCTAGCAGTGTGGAGTTGCTCTGAGACAGCAAGGAGAGCAGTCTCTGTGGAGTGGCCTGCCTTGAAACCTGACTGGTGGGGGTCAAGGAGGTTATTATTGGAGATTGAACGTTACCTGAAATAACAAATGCTGAACCCAGACAGTGAATGCCTCTAAATGTCTAACAGTTCTAATTCATAATGACATATGTAAATTCAATCCAAATTCAGATCCACCCTCGTACGAGGAACTGACGCAAACACACTCATGCATCCGAAAGCTGGAAGGGATCTTATGTTAAAACAGTCTGTCATCTTTTCGCTTTAATGATATCGTTACAAAAATTCATGCCAGTGTCGCATTTTGAAACAAGATGAACTGAAAAAGGGAAAAAAGCTTCCTGTTGTTCCTTCTACCGTGTCCCGTCTCTATTTTCCCCAATGTTTAAGCCTTTAGTCTCAGTCCCTCCTTCTCTGCCTCTCCAACCACAAGCCAGAGCCCTGATGCTAAATAGTGAAAGCAGCATCTATGTAAAGACAAATGTGTTGTGCCTATCTCAAGATAAACATGACAATTTGATTAGACTGCAATGCAAACGCCGTGTCAGAAGCATTTAGCGCATGCTGTGCACCTATTACGGATGTAAATTGCGTGTCGGTGTGTATTCGTATGTGGAATAGGTTTAAATGCTTCAGTTACTAAAATGGCCCTGAAGTAAAAGTCACAGGAGTGTTTAATGCATGAGCTGCACATTCTTTCCACGCCGCTCCTTAATGACAAAATGGTCTTTGCTCCTTAAATTTCTTTGGACTAATGTGCCAATCCATACTGAGCTATTATATTCATCCAAACCTTTAATGCAATCTGTTAATGGCCTTTGTTTGTTAGATTCTGCCAAGCAGATGGGTAAAGATTAATAGCAGAATAGTACAATTGCACTAATAAACCTCTTACGGATTTGTTCACAGCAATACCAGTGGATTTAAATAGTGAATCTGAGGTTGGAACTGTCCTTTAATTAACGTCGTCCTTGAAGAGCCCCCATCCACTTAAATCAAAGATGTTAAATCAACTCACTATTCTCTCTGCCAATACTTTCTATCTCTCTCTGACTCATGCAAGTTTAATTTGGATAGATCAAAACATAAGACTAACCACTGTGACCATTTCAAGGAATCATTTGACATTTGGGATATACAGTTGGTTTTTTATAAAAACAGTAATGACCTTTTATACTTTTATACTAAGCGACAAAGTGGTCACTGCAACCAAATGGCTATTTTAGCTGCTAAATGAAAACAGCTTTCTCAATACAAAAGGTATCAACGTTTTAGTATTGCTTTCATGGGGTTGTGCGTGCAGTAGCAGTGACTTCCTGGGGATGAATAAGGGTGACAAACAAGACTCCATTAGGCCAGCGGTTCCACTATGTGTGCAGTTTTAGTACTAGGCTAAAAAGCCACCTGTAGTCTTCCACCTAGTGTACAAACGTGTGAAAGTAACAGTCTTCTCATCCGTGAGCGTACCATCAAAAAAACTATTACTTTTTGGGATGTCTGTGTCTGTAGAGCCTTTACGGAGAACGACTGTCAGATAACAAGTGAGTAATACAAAATATATGTACATTTTAAAAAAATCAGTTGCTTCAACCTTTACATTTTGTTGTGCCAATAACAATACAGTACTCTTTGTTGGCCTAGTAACTGGAACGAGTACCCTTTGAATCTTGAATCTGGTTAAACTGTAAAATAATGATTCCAATTATGATTCCCGCTGAATCGCCCTGAAAATAAAAACTATTCAGCCCTGAATGAATTTGTCAATGGGAAGCTCTATGCGGCGGAGGACCTCATGCAGCAGACATAAGAAATACCGAATAACCGAGTTAATGCAGTAGTACAAATTGAATAGTCAGGGGTTGTGTTTATGGCACATCTCAATCTCATTACAACTGTGTTTACGTCCACAAGTGAATTCTAAGGTGCAAGCAGTTTTTTTCACTTGTCTTGCTAATCAGCACATCTGGGTTGATGCTGCGTTACACATGTGGAATGTGTTCCCATACACAAACTTTCCAGGATTAACAATGACACCCCGTCCTCAACTCTGCCTCTGTGTTGAAGCGGTTCTTCAAAGCTTAGGCACTTGGTCTGCTGGCGCGACAGTGGGACTAACTTCCACAAACATCGGCTTGTCGACACTCAGCATATGTTGCTAACGAGGTGCGGCAAAAAGTTTCTGTGCAGAACAGAGAGAGCTGCTCATGCCAAGTGTGCACTAGCGCACCCGGCGGTGTGTCACCAGTCGTGTGATTGGCAGGGGTCACCTGTGACGGCTTTTGGTTTAAAAAAAAGGAGCAAATTCCATCCTAAGATTACACGATTACGTTCTCTCTTAGTGGTGTAACGGACGGGTTTTGAGGCGAGATCAGTTCTGAATTATAATATATGTGGCCACAGTGTAAGAATTGTAGTGTGTTATTAGGTATTAGTTATTATATTATTATGTAAGATTGAATTCTACAAAGAATTAAACACATTTTATGTTTAAGTTAAAGCCTGGGGAAAGGACACACCTTCCTCGGTGGATTTCTTCCATATTTTCTCCTCAATGAAGGAGTTTTTTGCGAAGTTTTTTCTCCTGTCAGGTCGTTCATGAGCAATGGATGTAAGACAGGCCTGCAAGGCAAATGGTTTGATTATGGAAAATATACAATTAGTTTAATGGTTATGATGATATGAAATATAATGATTTAAGATGGGTTGTGATTAGAGTATATTAGCTGTAAGTTGATGATGATATTTTGCATGCCGTTATGTTTACATGAAGAGGCTTTATGCTAAAGGTATTTTTATTGAATGTATTTTAAGGTCAGAACAGTGACGGACAGACAGGCGAGAGAGGTTCAGGTTTTG